TTATAATGCATCATAAAAATATAACATAATTGATAATTCCTGTATCTAAGTTACTATTATTATGTATTGGTACCTGGCACATAGTAAATGCGGAACTGCTTATAACTTATAAGGTTCAGTAAAATTATTTACTAGTTTTGCTGAAAAAAGAAAACATTTTCATAGTAATACGAACGACTTTCACTCTCAATCGYACATATCTCAACAAATAGTCACTTGTTCTAAATCATAACACAGTTTTTTKATTGTTTGCTTTCTCACACGATTCGCTATTGTTGATGGAACTACCCACTACCAGCTTGGTTTAGGAGGGAGAGTGAAACCGTTTGGATTTTTTTTTAACTTGCAGAGGTATACATTTATTGAGTATAGCATTAGAGAAACCAGCCTAGACTAGCATGTAGAATTAGGTACAAAACAAAAATCAACTATTTACATGAGTTAAAAAAAGTTTTAAACATATGCTGTGTATTACATTTTTAATCCAAACAAAGAAAATACCGTTTATGAATAGTACTGAAAACAGGTATACTTGTCCAATAATATATTAGTATTTTATGGAAAATGAACGAGACGACGACCGCGCGTATATATTATATGGTACTTACTTACATATAACTATTTATGGGAGACCAACTTTAAAYATATTTTGATTATATTTTTATTCTCTAGCCGCTTGAAATCGTAAAAAAAAGAGAAAAACTGTCTTGTAGAGCCGGAAACRGTGTGCTCWCTGACCGTCGTCTTTGGTCGGTGTCGCATGCGGCGGCCGCCGATGGGTATAAATCATTTTCCGCCGGACAAGCTAATGTCCTATCTAATTTGGCAACGACCTAAGCAATATAATAATATTATTATACGAACGTAATTTGTGGTAAAAATAAAATAACAGTATTCACGTAATATAATAAATAAAATTGTATTCCTTTTATAACCTAACCTTATTAGATATTATTATTATAACCACTGCAGAGGTCGTAACTCATTGTCGATGACTGTAAAACGAAAACAAAAAACAAATTTCACTTACCTCTCATATATATATATAAACATATACATATTTTTCGTGTACATCGATAAGTAGACACCACCGTCGCCGTATGCATTATATATATTTATGTGTAAGTGTGTGTGTGTGATACAGCGGTGGTGGTGGCCATTAAATAATCGTTAAGATGGGAAAACTATCGGCGGAACGCACATTTCCTGTTAACGAAAAAACCATATAAAGCGCACACGATAATATATTTATATAGATAGTTAGGATTATATATATATTACAGTAGATTTACTTCGTATTTGTGTATAAAAATACATTATAGAACGTGTACGTGCGAAGGGTGGAAGACGGAAAGAAGTGAGAGCGATCGGTTCGGTTGACTTTATTACGGTCGAAGGGTTGAAATTTCGTGTAAACACAATCGGTCGCCTGGGTAGGCCATTAGATCGTTAAGAAATCAGAGGTTCACGTGATATATTATACACAATAATCACGTCAAGACGAGACTAATAGTACGAAAAACAAAAACAACAACTGTTATAATAATATTATGTACTATAAACTCGTACAGTCATACTTACACCTTACACTTTTTTTTTATTCTTTTTTTTTTTATTAGCCTTTAGTCATTGACTGTTATGGTTTTACACTTATAGAATGAAATAAAACCTACATCAGGTGTTTGTCCATTCTTGTTGAAAATATTTTTTTTCGTTTGGTTTTGAATTTACTGTAATCTGTAACCGTAGTCGTCCGTCATAATATACCTATCTAATAATAAAATAATAAGTAACAATCAAAATATTCGATAAATAATAGTCGCATATTCATTAGGAGATGGTGGCGTGAGATAAGGAGACGTCTGGTGAAAACAAGATTTGAACTCTATGGGTTTTCAAAGTAAAAATGTATTTTAGAAATTTTGTTTCAAATATAATATTTTCTAAAAAAGATTTAATACGTTTTGAAAAAGTATAGGTAAAAGTATTGGTACTTTTAAATATTTTTACTTGTATATGCCGTATATGGAGAGCTCTTCGCTTGACCTATATTAAGTATTTAATAACTATTCTGACATATTTTCTTCTAGATATAGGTAAATGTTTTAATATATTATAATGATTTAATATTTTKAAACTGATTGACGAAAATAAGTCAAAGTGAAATTGTCATAGATTTTAGCATAGAATTATTGTTTTTAGTGGTCGATATTTATAAAATCATAAAATAATCAAATAKATATATAAAATATTTATTGTATAAATTACAATTTAACTACTATGTATGCATTTATTTTTAAATAAATTTACTTGATTGACACGATTGCAATATGGTTATTGGTTATTGTAGTTTCTAAAGGTTTTTATAATATTGTCTACGTTTACAAACCAAGGACCGCATCATATTAAAATACATAAAATATAATTATATGATTCGATTGGTTTCTTGCTTTGAGAATTTCGTGATATTTTTTACACGAACATTTCCAGCGATCAGGTAGGTCAATGCTGTACTAGTGTAGTAGTGTGCAGTTATAAATACTACGTAATCTTTTCACTTCTTTTTGTGCGTTTTTCACGAGTGTTTGTGCGCCAATTTTATGCATCCGTAAATGGTAAAATAACGATTAACGCCAGTTAATTCATGGTAAATTAAGAGCAAGTCAACAATTTAACGACCGGGAAAATTTCTCAATATTATCTTACTCCACAGATACGAAAATAATGATAATAAGCTTGAAAAGGCATGCGACTCGATCAAACTATTTTTCGAAATAGTAGTTACTTTAAAACACATCAGACACATCGATTATGTATTATCTATACCTAAGACAGTCTCCATCAGTCGTAACAGTTCATATTGTGTTACTCTGATCCATCACCTTTCACACTCTGAACGCGCTCACTTTTTGACGTAACTCGTACATTACACAGATATCCATCACATGRTTTGCGCTCATGCACACCATAGATTATAGGTGTACTTACGATATAATTTTTTTTTCTTCGTTTCACAACACCGCAACAGATCTTAAAATTATCTTAGTATAAATCAATATTATGTATATAGACACCTGTAATCGTACCCGTTTTCGAGCAGTTGTCTGCAGCAGTTCTTATTTTCCATGCAAATTGAACACAGATTGCTCGCGTATATTATGCGTGTAATGACGATGRTCAACATAAACAATAGACATTCCTGTTTAATATCATTTTTTGATACATAAAACATTCCCAGTAATTTTTGTTAACCATAACGATTTTAATTGATGTCGTTCATMAAAATATTACAATTTTAAAAATTACTATTCTATAGTGAATCAGCATAAAAGTAACTTGTGCGCTCGTATGCGTACAGAAATTGTAATGGGTTATCGTATTCGTTTTCTGCCTTTTCTGCAAGGTTAGTTAAAATTTCATACGGGCATAAATGTATACCTATTTATAAGTAAGCTATAGCCAATAGGTCAACCTTAATTCCCTACCCCCCTTTTTGTCTTTTTTCCTTGTAGTTCAAATATTAAATACTAATAAATTAAGATTTTCTTTATTATTTTAATTAAATAAGAATGTACTTTAAGTAGAAATATTATATAATTTTATAATGAATTACTTAACTATGTTTTTTTTTTTTTTTTTTATAATAATTTAAGTGTTATAAGAAAAAAACATGTACTTATACAATTAGCGATAATGTTCTGACGAGTTTAAAAAACGAAATTATTTTAACAACAAGGTGTAAAAWTTAATAAACTTTTTTCATTCTTTCGACTAATAATTCTATATTTTACTGATAAAAACGACGGAATATTAAACTTTTTACTGGATAACAATAAGCAATTTTTTACGGTTAACGACCACTACTGCTCGCCTACAATTATTATTCTCCATGCAAATTGAATACGACGTACTCGTAGGTATCTAATATGTGCAATAATGATTATCGATAAGTATAAACAACAAAATAACCATAGGACTCTACTCGATATGTTCCTCTGCAAGGAAAATCTATATAAATCCTATGGTACGTTTATATGATGAAGTTGAAACGATTTGACAYCCATGGATAGTTATTTTATTTACCAGTTTTATATACCTATACAAATGGTTTAAATTATTTTATTTACCAGTAAAAACACAAGTATTCGTGGATATAATACCGATTCGACACTATTACACAAACGTATTAATAGATACGTTTTCATATTGTATATTGTTGATTTTGGTTAAAAAACAAAAAGCATTCAAAAACATATCTACATGTTGAAAAGTCAATAAACGTTCCATTTTATTATTTTATAACGTGTCCAGTTATTTTTGTTTACTGTAACCATCAACGATTATTTTCGTTTATCAAAATATTACAACATTATTATATAATAATATTATAGTCGATAACAAATATTACACAGGCACACCATATAAACTGGCTTTCGTTGAATGACTTGTGACCTCCGGAGACGCGTAAAAATGTGTATAGTGTATACCTAATTTTGGTTTTTGTGTCGTTCTATAACACTTGGTATTTATTTTTATATATATACAGCATACTGCACACAGGCTAAATCGTATGCACAAAGATTTATGTCTCCTATTGTAAACAGTCGCGGCGGGTGTGTTGTATGTAAATTGTTTACAAAATATGTTAACCCCCGTTAATCTCCATATTTTGCCGTCGTCGCACGAAAACCGTTTATTTTGAAATCGTTACCATTAAGTCGTATAATATATATTTTCACATACTTTAACACAAGGGTAACTACAATATTATTGCTGCGTTTAGATCACCGCGGCTGATTTTAACCGTTTTACTTCACTGGTCCATGGCGCACATATGGGCAATTTGGAACGGTAAATGTTTATTATGTTCCGACCACATGTTCGAAATTTCATTTTGCCTGTCTTTTTTTTTTATGTGTATTACAAGGGTGATTGTAAACAAAAAGGATCAGTAATAGGTAGGTAGGTAACAATAATACTAAATTATAATAAACAACGAGTAAGAACAAAATAGATTTTAATAATATTTGATAAATAGGTATATCGAAGGTGGATAAGACCCTCGGACAGTATCTTAACAAATTTAAAAAAAAACAAATAATGATCATAAAAAATTAATTCTAACAAAATAATTTAGACAACTTAAATTCATATTTTGTACAATTTCTAAACGTAATGCCGTTAATGTTTGTAATCCGCTATGTCACTGGCAAAATGTTAAATATTATTAAAGTATACCTACTAATATGTATAACATAAATTAAATTATTAAAAGCAAATTGTGGGTGTGGTGAAAAATCAACATTAAAAACGCGACAAAAAATAATATATTATAWAGGTAGTTAATTATTATGATATTGATACGTACAAAAATTTGCTTAAATCCGTTTTTTATATCACTCGTTTTGGTTTTAATGAGATCAAGCGATTTACACGCTTTAAACAAAAAATATTTTGATTTTATGCTCGAAAGCTTATAACATGATAAAATGGTTAGGATTATAATAATTATACTATTATATATTTTCTGTATAAAACAATAATGAGGTGATCAAACGGGTTTACATAAAGGTACAGTTTATCAGTGGCGAAACCAAAAATACAACAACGTCTGTAAGCAATCTTTGGTTTATCCTCTTACGCAATGAGAAGAATAAAATGATTAAAGTCATGTGCATCATAACTATATTTAAGTGATTTCTGAGATGAATRGTATAAATGGATTATTTAGTTAAACATATATTTATATACCGTTAAACTAAAATGACAATAAGATGTATTAGATAATATATATATTTAAAAGAAAGAGATTTTGAAATAAATAATATTAAACGTAAACATTTTTTATATATGCATCTCTAATTAATTAGGACGTGTTTACAAAAACTTTAACAAAATAACAAAAATATTATACATTTTTTATCCCACTAAGTATTYTTATACAATAGTAATAATAATTGTTGTTCATATATATACGAGGAAATGTGTTTCACTATCGACTATATTATGTACACGTATCATTAAATTCGTAATTCTAATTATAGCAAATGTATATTTTATAATAGTATAAAATTTAAAATTTAAATCTAAAATTAACGTTACTAGTWWYCTATATAATATATATTTTGATTAACCGGCGGCGGTCACTGGCGCACTAGCGTACGATAGTGGTTATCGACATTCCGGTAAAATGGAAAAAAATTGGAACATATTGGTCGCGATGMAATTCGAGGACAGTGAATATTATTTTCATGACTTCGCGTCAGTTTTAAGTTAAAATAAAAACGACGGAACATTWATGTTTCTTGTCCGAGAATTATTACCGACTGTGAACACTGTACTCATACACACATACGAGTCGTTTAGGTAGGTACTGTAATGTTGTATATAAATATATATAATATAAATACACACCGATTATATTATTATAATAATATATTAGTGAGTGTTGTCAGTTTTGTCGATATGGGCGGAGGACACCTAATATATAATATATACAAGTATGATATAGGTGTCGTCGAGAAATTTAGGCTAAGAATCGCGAAAAAAAAATAGTACAATGAAGGGCGAGTGTCGGCGTGAGGGGAGGCGCGGGACCCCTCGGGGGATCTGCAGCGGGGAATCGGGTCAATCATTCCGTTAATCAGCCTAGTATTGTGCGCGCGACGCAGCCGGGGGACATGACCGGATCATTAATCACACGACCGCAGACGATTAAAAAAAATGAAAATAATAATAATAAATAAATAAATAATAATAATAATAACGGACGAGAGGTAAAAAAAGGCGAGAAACGATAGATTTCATTATTGTATAATAATGCGTATTATTTATTAATAGTGTGCGCGGAGTTCGCGCGCGTGTGGGCTACTACAAACTGCTGTATTATATTATTATTATTATACTGCAGGTACCATATTATTATTATTATTATTATTAATATTATTTGTTGCCGCTGTCCAATGTTTGCTTTACAGGAGAACCGATGATATTACACACGTCGACGTACTTACGCGGTTTGACCCGAAATGGCGGCGAGGTCGCGGTCGTTTGTCCGTCACTTATCCGTTCTTTTTGTTTTTTCATCCATTTTCGAATGGCGCACACGCATGTACACATAATAATATGCATGCGCGATAGTTGTATGATATATTATTATTATTATTATTATTACTATTATTATTTTCTCTAGCGCACAATAGTCGTTCGTTAAGGTGTCATTGTGCGGCGGCGACGGCCGACGACCGAATTCCTACAGGTCAACTTCAACAGCAGRCGCTTGTTTCCGTGTGCAGAAATACCACGAAAATTTATTTAAAAACTCACAAAAATTCCCCACAAACTCCTCACCATTTCTCGGTGTCGCCCGTTTCCTCCCGATCGCTCCCGCKCATCGACACTACTCCCCCCCACCCCGACCACCTCCTGAGGTCAAGAATAATGCAATATAACATTATATTATAATATATAGCTGGTAATACAATAATTAATAATATTATTAAATAATGACATAATATCACACATTATTATTATTGTTATTACTATTATTATTACGTGTTGCGAGCGCGCGCGCGTTGACCGATGACAATCACAAGGCCGGAACCATTTGCCGGCAGACCGGAGACTGCTGCTGGCCGTCGACCATGTACTCGCCGCCGGACTTTGGCACGGGCACCATTCCGCCGCCATTTAACATCATCAACTGCTGCTGCTGGTGCTGTTGGTGCTGCTGGTGCTGTTGTTTCTGCTGTTGATCGACTTTGGACGACGGATGGTCCATCAGCTGTTGATGCTGCGCTACCACTGCCGCCGCGTTCTTGGGCTGATGGCGTTTCTTGTGCAGCGCCAGATGATCGGACCGGGCGAAACACCGTTCGCACACCTCGCACCGGAACGGTTTGTCGCCCGTGTGCTTCCGGTAGTGTCTGGTCAGCTCGTCCGACCGCGCGAAACTCCACTCGCACGCCGACCACGTGCACCGGTACGGTTTTTCACCTGCAAAAATAAAAAAACACCCACGCCCATAAAATATACGTCGGTTATGATGATGATGGTAATTATCATATTATTAACTTTGTTGAGATTTTAACATAAAACTATCATGTATGATTATCATATATTATTATAATATATGTACATTTTATGAAAAGTATTAGGAGGACGTGCTGTTGTTGCAGTTGTCGTCGTTGTATTTTTTATATATCACAGGCAGCACTATATTATTATTTAAAGTACATAATTATTATAATTTTGGATACAATAACCGTTGCAATGTATCATAATATATTATACGTTATTATTTACTGCAAAGAAAAATAAATCAGATAATAGAAGTTTAAACAATTACATTATTCTTCTTCAAGTTTCTGAAAATTGTTATGATATTGCATATTATGATGCATTATCTATTGACTATTTCAAATTTCAATTATACTTTAAGATTTAACCTTTGAGATAGGAAACATATTGTGAATGGTCAAGGTATGAATAATTGGTATCTGCAGGTACCTATACTGCAATCTTCATGGATAAAAATATATTTATTTGATTGAGTGTTTACTATTTTTTCTCAATGTCAACTGCATTTCGTTTATTAAGGACCTATAAATTTACATATTACATATTTTCTTTCTAAGACATTTGGTGGATGAAAGGGTGTCTGAATGCACCTATGCCCAATGACAATTCATATATTTTAATGACTCATGTTGAAACGTTTCTGTTGCTGTGCMTATATATATATACTCGTAAATCGCACATCTATATTATTCTATACATGTGTGATCTATCCCGGGGGTATTGCAATAATATACGGATCGATCGACGCCACAACATTCCATTCGCAAGATTCGTATCAATCATATAGGTATCTACAATGTGTGTGTGTATATCAAGTGTGGTTGTTTGTATCTATATGATTATCCGACGAYGAGGTGCGACGAGAAAGCCGCATCAAACGATATATAACTGTATAACATACTGTTCGCTCCTATTTTATTTTTATAATATACAATGGTAATACTATACTCAATGTGGCGTCGTWCAAAACGTTTTCCTATATCTTGAATACATGATGTACATGTGTGTGTTCCGATTCTCAGCTCCGATTCATAATTTATKGCCATAATATAATGAGTGATATAMAAAAATATGAGAACGAAAAATTGAAATTTTGGCGTCTATAAGTAAAATGACTACATTTTAAACACGTCTTGTATAGTACGCTATTTATAATAGGTAGGTAATTAGTAATTATATTATTTAAATTAATAAGATCCGTATAAACATTTTTACCAATATAATGTATGTATCGAATGTTGGAAATAGATTTAGTTTTCACTGTAGTTGCAGGTATTCGTGAATCTGTGATAATAGATATTGAAAAATTCAAATATTTTTAAGTATTTAAGAAAATAAATTCACTATTTTTTGAAAGGTATGTTTATTGGATGGGATATAGACATATAGTGTTCGGAAATGTATATATACAATATCGATGTCAGAAATTATATCGATGGCCCACTAATACACTAGTTAATACATTATATTCGTGAACTATATTCCCCAGCACATCACGCTCGTCCGCGTTCCTATTTATCGCGTGCCACGAAACGGAAGAGAGAAAAATGACAAATTWTACGCCTATTCCACCGCAGCCCACACTRCTATATAGGCAAGTAATCCGTTCGTAACCGTTTTCATTTTAATTGGTCTCGATTGACTGCCCGCGATTTCGAGTAGGCCATCGCGGACAACAATGAAGTTCGAAAAGCTAAAGACAAAAAAATTAACACAGAGAGCATTATATTATTATGTATAATGCGGATGTGGGACGCTTCGCCGGATAGCACCGCGAGTGCACTACATACATTTAATATTATATTGTATACGTATTATGATAATGTGCGCTTTGGTCGCGAATTTTTTCTCTCGGCGCGCGCCATTGTCTCACGACGTATCACGGCGGCGGCGGCCCACGTTCCGAGTCTGTCGTTTATCATATAATATGCATACTATTATTATTATTATCATTATTATGTATAGCGGTCGTTGGCGCGCAAACAATGTAACGATTGTGTTCGAATTCGGAACCGAGTGCGATCGGAGCCCACTCGACATTTTTGTTTATGTACCTATATATTTAATATATACATTAATAATGTAAGCGCGCGCAAGACCGAAAGGGGTGTTGAGCACGTCCTTGACCCAGCTGCTCTATAACAGACGAGTCGTCAAGTATACCYAAATATATCTAAAATACCTACTACTCGCGGTGTAATATTTTTAATTATAGGTACATACTATAATAGTAATTACTATATTATATTATATACAGCTGGTACATGCGCAATACTCACKATCTGATTTGTAAACTACAACCCTTCATCCGATCTAATATGAATAATGTGATACGAGTACAGTGATAATGAACATGCAATGGTAAAAGAAACGCGCATTATTATTTATTAGTACGAAGAAACTGCAAATAGATAAGATCATTAAAAAATGTTATGTTAATTTTTTGTAATTTTCGTGGCATGTAATGAAATAAACCTATAGGCTGTAATAATTGTAAATATCATACATTTATCGAAAATCCATATTAAATTAAATTTCGAAAATCAACACGTGCGACATGCCTATATTTGTATTTTATTTATTTATTTTATTTAAGAGCTTAACCCTTGGACAAAATGTAAATACATATAAACAATCTGATAGTAATAACAATCAAATATACCTAACTATTTTACAAAAATAAATATAAATAACATTTATGTATTATACAAAAGAGTTATAATAACGAAGTAAATTATACAATGTAATATAATATTAGGTATGTAAAAGTATTAAGTATTTCGAGAAGGTTAGGGAACGTAGAGGGACTGAAAAGGAATGGTGGATCGACTTTCCCAGATAATATTGCCCGTTTATGATGAGTTTAAGTACATTCAAGTGTTTACGATTCGCAAGAGTTATAAACAAACATTCCGATAATTATATAACAGGATAATAATTACATAGCCTTTATTTTATTCGAAATTTTTTATAACTACCAATGATATAGTTATTAAACGTTTGAGAAAAAAATAACTTATTTTTATCTGTGCGCAAACAATATATTATTAAATTATATTTCCGGATCGCGATAGACTATAATATTATACGAATCACACTGCAGTAATATATAGTGCGCATGACACAAAAAAACGTGCGTGGGCGTTGAAAAAAAGGCACACACCCTCAAATATCGTATTCGAATCGTACAGATGACGGATACAATGACGCCGGCGTGTTGTCGTGATTCTACGTCGCAAATAATAATATACGCTCCGATTGGCGCGCGCCTTTATAATACGGTACATTATTATATTATTACAATATTATAATTATAATATATTCGAATCGTCGCCGACATAATGTACATATATATATATATATATTTTATCGAAATAATATAATCGATTACGCGAACATAATATAATATATACCTATATACATGGGCAAATTATATTATCATAATGATATACGACAGTTTAAAACATTATAATTTGAACCCAATAATATATAATATATTATGTACTACATCGTATATATAGTGGCGTATATACAATCGTATACTGACGAGTGGTGCGAACGGAAGCCGAATCACTTCCCGTGAAAAACAAAAATCCTGGAAAATAGGATTTGATCGTATTATCCAATATAATAGATAAATAGATCACCGTTTATTTWATATTCTAAAACTATAGTAAAATAACATATAGATCTCGAACTTTGAAAAAATAATCAACACTTTCCTATATTATGCGTCTGTTGTACTCTGCGTTCGGCGAGAGAGCACACGCAAGTTGGTAGCGGTCAAAATTAGTCATCGGATTCGTGACAGAGTATTAAATAATATAATTAAGAATTATATAATAATTTTCTGATCGCGATACTCGGAGTCACTCTGTAGTCTACAGTAATAAAATAGTGAGTACGACACCAAAAAACGTGCGTGATGGGCGTTGAATAAAAAACGCACATCCTCAAACTCATATTCGAATCTCACGGATGACGTCGAGTGCTTTGTCGCGATTCTGTGTCGCACAAAATATACGCTCCAGTTGGCACGCGCCTTATATATAAAAAAAAAAGGTCTATATTACAATAATATATTATTAAATATACGAATTGTTGCATTATACCGAAATAATACAATCGATTATACGAACATACTTCGGTATAATATCATTACTGCATACGTTAAGTATAAAACATAATAATAGTATGTACATCGTAATAACGTAAATTATAATCGTATACTGCCGAGTGGCGCGGACGGAAGCCGAGTCACGTCCCGTGAAAAAACAAAATAGACAGTCGAAATAACTGCTGTCGGGGGATGCGGGRCGCGCGCGCGCACACTGCTGCAGGATATAATTCAAAAAATTATTTTAAAAAACTACGACGACGACGACCCGCCATCGGTATATCGTGCTTTTTACCCGTTTTACTCACCAATAGTATAATATACATTATTTGTTAATATAGGTAATAATCATAAAAATAATAATGACATGCGCAGTGGCGGCAGTGCACATCCTCATCTCCACGCGGTTGCACGTAAAACGCATAATAATAATAACAATAATGATTATAATATGTGCATTGTGCACGCGCATGAGGCCATTTAACATTGCAGCGTATAATAATGCGTGTAAATGCTCAATATCCAACACCCTCCAACCGTTCCCACCCCATCGCACACTGTTGCTGTTGTTATTACTGTCGTCGACGTCATTTATGTGYACATTATTTCGGCGCTACCCAACCAGAGTTCCTATTTGTATAAGTGTGTGTGTGAGCGCGATCGCGATACGCACTTTACACACACGACAGTTTATTATTATTACTATTACGGATCGTATACGGTTTTTATATTTATCCGTTTTTTTTCCGTCGTCGTGTTATTTAGTTTTTTAATTCGTACACGGCGRTTGACAATAATT